CCCTAGCAGTAGCCCCTCCAGCAGCATCGGAACCCCCATTAGCACCTCCAGCAGTCCCAAAACCTCCCGCAGCACTAGGAGCACTGCCAGTCGGACCGCCAGGGACAATCTCAGCGCCAACACCCTCAGCAGCACCAGCTCCAGTCGAACCCGCAGGCCCAGCAGCTCCAGTACTCCCAGGACGAGCACCTCCGGGACCCGCGGCAGCAGCACCCTCAGCAGTCGAAGAACCTCCAGCACCTGCAGCACGCCTCCAGCGCTGGGCAAACCACTCACGCAGCTCCTGTGGGGAGAGTGGCTCTCGGCGAAACGAAGCACCCGGAGAACCTCCAGGCGAAGAAACTCCAGGCTCAGCACCCCCAGGCAAAGCACCTCCAGGCGTAGTACCTCCAGGCTCAGCACCCCCAGGCTCAGCACCCCCAGGCACAGCACCCCCAGGCGAAGCACCCCCAGGCTCAGCACCCCCAGGCTCAGCACCCCCAGGCTCAGCACCCCCAGGCACAGCACCCCCAGGCTCAGCACCCCCAGGCTCAGCACCCCAAGGCTCAGCACCTCCAGTCTCAGCACCCCCAGGCCCAGCACCCGCAGCAGCACCAGAGTCACCAGTGATCTCGACAGGCTCGACCGCGTCTACCTGTGACACACCTGAAGGGGCAGGACCCTGAGGGGGGAGGGGGTCGACCGGGGGAGAACCTGGTACCAAGAAGAGCGGGGGCGGGGGGAGGGACGGAGTGCGGTAGGGGAAGAGGCGGTAGTAGGGTACCGACTCGTCGAACGTGACGTCCTGGGAGGACAGAACACGGCGAGAGGTGGGGTGGTAGAACTGCCACGCAGGGGCGTCGGGGGGGAACCCCAGGAAGACGCAGGGAGCAGCGCGAGGGGACAGCTTGTCCGCAGACAAGTCGCGGACAAACGCTCGAGATCCCCAGACCCGGAACGCCGACGCATCACCAACCTTCCCCGTCCACAGCAGGGCTGGGGAGGTCTCCGGCCTGGAGACCCTGGGGTGGAGGTTGATCTGATGCGCCGCGTACCTGACCGCAAATGGCCACAGAAAATGGGGGGCAGCCGCATGCATCATAGACGTACGAGCGACGTCCATGACCATGCCAATGCGGCGCTCTGCAATCCCATTTTGCTGCGGTGAGTCCGGAAGCGTGAAGGTCTGACGGATGCCTCGCGCACGACAGTAGGCACGCAGAAGGCCAGAGGAGAACTCTCCGCCTCTGTACGAGTGCAGACGCAACACAGGAAAGTCCGAGCCAAAGCTCTGCATGAGTTGGAGACGAGCTGCGCGGATCCAGTCGATCAGCACCTCAGTGACATCACCCTTGCTGCGCAAGGGGAAGACTGTGGTGTAACGCGAGTAGTCGTCAACCACCAACAGGAAGTAGCGCTCGTGGCCTAGTCCACGGACGCGGGCAGGGCCCCACACGTCCATGTGAAGTGTCTGCAACGGAGCCTCTGTCGGAGGAAACTGAGAGGAGTGAGGGGCAGCACGCTGGCGCCCCTCGACACAGGGGACACAGGCAGGGCCAGGGCCCTGAGGAAGGGGAGGGAGGGACCGGGGGAGACCAGACACAAGAAGACGGGAGGCCATGCCTCTAAGCCAAAGCAGAGAGGGGTGGCCAAGGCGGTGGTGCCAGAGGAGGGTCTCGTGAGACAGACGGCGACACGAACAGGGGGCAGACTCAGGACCAGACCTGGACGCTGCAGCAAACACCTGACCAGACGAAGGGACTCTACCAGACTCAGCACCTGGAGGAGAAGCAGTGGTCAGTGTGTACAGGCTCGACCCTGGCTGACGTGTAAACGTAGCCAGGTGGCGACCTGTGCTAGCCTCTGTGCAGTGTGTCACCCGATGACGAGCAGGAGTGAACTGGTGGACACCCACATCCTGTAGGTCAACACCACTCACCAGGTTCGTAGAGAACGAGGGGAGGTAGAGACCAGACAGGGTGCCAGAGGGAGCCGCCGGACACGGGAGGACTGTGGAGAAACGAGACAGGACAGGACCCCCAGAGGGGTCAGCCAGGGAAACCGCAACCGGCCGACTAAGCGGCGTGAGAGTGGTGCGGTCCCTAAAGAAGGAGAGAGACGCCCCAGAGTCAAGGGTGAAGGTGTGAGAGGCCGAAGCCGACACAGTACCTGAGAGTGCAGACTCACTAGTACCTGAGAGCACAGACGCACTGGCACCTAGAGCAGCAGCCTCACTGGCACCTAACGCAGCAGTACCAATGCCCGGGTCGGGCGGGAAACACCGGTAACAGTCACCCTCATCACTAACAGTCACAGCATACATGGCAGCAAGGATAGCATCAAAGTCAAGATCAAAGATAGCTACACCAGCCCTAGACAGCTCTCCCCAGCGGGGGATCTCAGAGGCCTCCGGAAACTGCTGGCGCCAAGCGTCGGTCAGGCGGGCAAAGCAGTGGCGGGCGGTGTGGGTGCCCCCACACTGCTCACCCGCGCGGTCGCCGGTGCGAAGGACGTAGGTGCAGGGACCGAACGCCCCACCACGCTGACGCTGCGAGTACCACTCACGGAGCTGCTGAGGGGCGGGGACGTCGCGAGAGCGCTGCTGCTGCTGCTGCTGCTGCTGGCGCTGACCACCCCCAGTGCTGCTCCGCTGGGACGAGCCACTCCGATCACCTCCACCACCGCCACCCCCGCCTCCGCCGACACCGCCGCCACCGCCACCCTCGCCCCCGCCGCTCCCACCGCTACCTCCACCGCCACCTCCGCCGCCACCTCCGCCTCCACTGCCGCCACTAGTACCTCCACCCCCGCCACCACCTCCACCGCCATCCCCACTCCCCCCGCCGCCCCCACCTCCTCCGCCACCGCCCCCGCTAGCTCCACCCGCTCCCTTGCCCCCCTTGCCCTTGCCAGAGCGGCGCGTACCGCTGGGGGCAGACGCCGCACCGACCGACTCTAGACCAACGAGGTCGGCCGCAGCAGCAGAGGCGACAGAGGGTAACAGGGGGGAAGGAGAACACCCCTCAAAGATGGGGGTGCGGGGGTCACTACGAGAGGCCCCTACAGCGACTATGCTCTTCTCGGCCGCTAGCAGGGACTTCTCGAGGAGGTCGACAGTGAGGGTGGTGGGACAGACAGAGAGAAACTGGTCCCTAACAGCACGAAGGGACTCAGGGAGACGGGTGACTAGAAAGTAGATGGTGATGTACATGGGAGGGGGGTTTTCGGCGCAGAAGGCAGCAGGAAGCGCAGCTCGGTAGAGAGTGTCACTAGCACGAAGGTGGGTAAAGAGGTCAGCGACTGTAGGAAAGGCAGCAAGGTCAGGGAAGAGGTAAGGTAGCATGAGGCGGCTCAGTGTAGCAGTGGAAGGGGAGGAGTAGCGCGCAACTACAGCGTCGTACAAGGCCTGAGCACTCTTGCACTGACTAAAGTGTGCACGTTCAGAGCAAGGGAGGTGGCGACGCACAGCAAGACGTGCAGCAGCATCGCGTGTGGCCCACTTGGAGCGAACAGTGGGGTCAGCATCAGCAGGAGGGGCAGGGACAGCGCCAGAGGCAAAGTCAAAGAGAGAGATGTCATCTACTGAATCGCACTGCAAGTACAGCTGCAGGTCCTCGACCCAGACCGCAAAGTCAATGGCGCGACCCTCTGCGTCAAAGGCCAGGACACTAGGGGTGGCCATGATAGCAGCCGACCGTCTCACCAGAGAGGAAGGGTCGAGCAGCTCAGTAGGACAGCAACACGGCAGCTCAGCAACTCCGCCGGCCCAGGAGTAGCAGCAGCCCCACAGGACCCGGCGCTCGGCACCGTAGGCGGCTCGGGCGGCTCGGGCGGCTCGGGCGTTCAGCGGCACGGGTGACTCGGGCGGCTCTGCTGCTCGGGCGGCGCGCGCGGCTCGGGTGACGCGGGTGACACGGGCGGCGCGCGCGTCGTGACGGGCTGCTCACGGGCGGCTCACGGGCGGCTCACGGGCGGCTGCACGGGCGGCTGCACGGGCGGCACTGGCGGCTCACGGGCGGCACGACGGGCGGCTGCACGGGCGGCTGAACGGGCGGCTGAACGGGCGGCTGCACGGGCGGCCGCACTGGCGACTCACGGGAGTCCGAGGGCGGCTGCACGGGCGGCTGAGGGCGGCTGACGGGTGGCGCAGTGGCAGCTCACGGGCGGCTGTACGGGCGGCGCGTCGAACAGCCGCGGGCGGCTGTACAGCCGCGTGCAGTGCACGTGCAGCTCACGGGCAGCCGAGGACGGCGCACGGGCGGCGCGTCGGGCGGCGCACTGACGGCTCACGGGCGGCTGACGGGTGGCCCACGGGCGGCTCACGGGCGGCTCGTCGGGCGGCTAAGGGCGACGCGCGGACGGCGCGTGGGCTGCCTGGGGCCTAGCGAGCGGCGCGCGGGCTGATTAGGGCGGCGCGCGGGCCGCTTAGGGTGGCGCGCGGGCTGCTAAGGGCGGCGCGCGGGCTGCACAGGGCCTGGACGGGCGGCGCGCTAGCATCTAGGGCGGCGCGCTGGCAGCGTGAGGCCTGAACGGGCAGCGCGCGGGCGGCTAAAGGCCGGTCGCCAGAGTAAGAGAGAGCCCGGAGTGCGCTCCGGGCAGAAAAAAAGTTCGAAGTAGTGGTGGGCCCTAAGCACAGTTCCCACAGGGGAACCTGCTCGATACCATGAGAAGAAGTGAACGAGAATGAATGAACTATGAATGAAGTGAGTACAAATATGAAACCCTAATTGGGTTGTACCCCCTATGGGATACCCCACTATAGCCTACACAACAGCATAAGCTATAATGTTCTGACAGTGCTACCCCACTATAGCCTACAGCAGCTATGTCATATAAATCTGACACGGGCAACCACTCCTTCGAAGACGCTGTGGAGATTTCTTCTCGTGAAGGTGCTAACGCTACTCTCCCACCATAGTGTCCTGCGCGGGGCCAGCATCCGCGAAATCACACTCCCCGACATCTTCTTGTACCGACTGGCTAGCACCTCGTCGGTGAACCCGGAAAACCAGCCGGTCATCATGGTGATCGCCGCGCAGAACTCGAAGACGTCCAAGGATGCGCGTCTTCAGCAGAGCTACGTGGCGCGACACCTCGAAGCGGAGTTGTGCGCCGTCGGCGAGACTGGCCTGTGGCTGTACTTCATCCTCGACCAGATCCGCCAGCTTCACGGCGTCGACCTCATCCCGCCGGTGGACACCAGCGCGCACGAGCGTTGGTACAAGAAGCACCTGTTCTTCGCCCGCAACGAGGAGGAGCAAATGGAACTCCCTGCTGCCAGCCACCAGCGATGGACGAGGCAGATGTGGAAGACGAACGGTGTGTTCTGCAAGCGGAATGTCCACGCCGCTCGAGCAGGCGGGGCGCAGGAGCTGGCCATCGATGGTACGTCTCGCGCCGAGATAGCCAAGCTGGGTCACTGGGCGATCAACAAGATGACTCGAGCTTACATCACCGCCATTCCCGTTGGCGTGGTGATGAAGAAGGCCGGCTATTCGGGTGCCAAACAGGACTACTTCTTGGGTCGCTGGAGGGTGGAACCCGGCGACGAACTCTTGGCGCTCATCGCCGAGCACATCTTCCCGGGCATTGACGACCTGGTTAAGAAGGTATTTTAATCAACGCCGCCTACGTTACGACCTAGGGTTAGACCTTCGTTACGTTGCCTGCTTTAGGGTTTAGACCTAGTATCGTTCGACTGGCCAACTGTAATCACCCGCTTCTGTTGTCAAATTGCAAGCCTGAAGAACTTGCGAAAATGGGGTCCGAGGCCGACTTTGCCGTCGTGCATTTCTGGCGCACCCTCCAGATCATACGCCACATTGTCGCCGAAGACCTCGCTGTGAAACTCGTCCACACCCCTTGGCATCTGTACGTCCAATATTCCAAGCTCTACAGGATTCCCCTCTTCCAGCACTGGGCGAAGAGGGTCGAGAAGCTCGACACCGAGACAATAAAAAATTGCCGAGACCCGACCCTCATTCAGCCTGAGGTGAGCCATTGATCAAGTCGACGTCGCTTTAAGCCTATTGAACGCAACACCCCCTCACATTCTACGTCAATTGCCGACCATTGCAGGAGATATCTGTCCGCTTGGACGCCGAACACGCTGTCATGTCGCTCACCGAGACACTTAAGTACGAGAGGGAAAGGTTGGCGGTCCAGAAGATAGACCTCGAAGAGGATATCGAGAAGCGCGACGCGATCATCGCGACGCTGACGGCAGAGATAACCCGCCTCACCGAGGCACTACGCGTCTCAGAAGCAAGGAGGATGCCAGAGGCGCCGCCAGCTGCGAACGAGCAGTCACCGAGGGACAGTGGCTCCGAGTACTCGGCAAGCACGGGTTCTGGAGCCAAGAAACCCCCGAAACCCCCACAGACGGTCGAAGAGGCTAGTTACGAGCTCAACGTGGTGCAGCCTTGGCGGGATGCAACGACCGTGAGGGATGCATGGCACCTCTGGACCTCTTGCACCAGCGCCGACACCCGTCGTCTATGCGACAGGTTTGCAGAGCCGGGGTTCGTCGACCGCCACACCCTCCTCAAAAGCGCGACGCAGGGAGCACTCGAGAAGAGGGTGCGCCGCATGATGAAGGTCATTGATGCAGTGCGCCATCTTCGCTGGAGCCACGGCGAGGCCGACACAGAAGCCGTCGTCGCAGCACTTAACAAGATAGCGGCGCCTGGCATTGGGACCTTCTTGGATACCCTCACGGTGCTCAACGCTGACGCCGTAGCGATGTACTCCCAGCCGGGTAAGGGCGTCAAGGGGCTCGGCAAGAGGGAAGTTTCCAAGCTTCGTGTCGCCTGTGCGTTCCTGGCTCGCGGGCTGAAGCTGGAACAGTGGGTCGTCGACCTGTTCCCGGACACCTCGAAGGAGCAGATGAAGATGATGTTGGCCGACATGGCCCGGGAGGACGCTGTGCAGCTGCCTCTGACCAAGACGTCGACCAAGCGCAAGAAGACCGCGTAAATGCTGTCGGCAACATGTTACTGTGGGATGTTACTGTGGGGTTTTGCATGTTTTGCATGTTGTCGACTTGAATGACCGTTTTGACATTGCTTAATCAACCACATGTAGCATGATTGTGAGCTTCTCACATTGCAACTGAGCGGCGTCGCCCACACAACACGTACGGCCTACACCGAAATGCATTTGAACACCGACATATGAACATGACGCCACTAAAAGTTGGTTGGCAAAAGGCCGGGGTGCATGGACGCATAGTGTTCTGGCTCATCTAGTTGTTGAATGGTTTGTCTCACATCTGTGAAAGTGATGAGTAGTCTTAGGTGCCATAGCTAGGAAAGCCCTAGCTAGGCAAGAACAGTTTAGGCAAAGAGGGGATGCACTAGCAAGAATGAGGATACAAATAGAAAACCCTAGAAGGGTTGTACTCGCTATAGAGCACCCCACTACAGGCTAGAGCATAACATTCTGATACACCCCCATAGCCAAAGTGGGGTGTAATCAGCAGATCGAGCAAAGCAGAACAAGCTCAAGGTGGATCACAATGTCACCACAAATTCTGAGCACAAGTTCAAGAAGCAATAGTTTAAAGTTCACAATTATGAGCAAAGCTAGTGGTAGTCACAACGGGCAAGTGAAGAGGAGGAGGGACAGTGAGAGGAGAGGAGATAGGAGGTGACGGCTGAAGCTGCAGACACACGGGCAACAGGAGGCACACTGGCACAGCGGCTACCTGAACAACGCTCCGGACTACTGGAGTAACTGGCCCCGCGGCTAAAAGTAGCGGCAGACGAGCAACGGACCCACGGGAGACTGGCAGAGGTGGCTACTACTGGGCTACCGGAGCAACTCCCCAGACTACAGGTGCTGCTGGCGACACGACGACAACCTCCGTTCAACCTCCCCCAAACAGTCCCACCCCCCCTGACACACACCCCCTTCTTCACCCCCAGCTCCACTCCCCCTTCACCCCCCCTAGTACCACTCCGACGGCTCCAACAGGTCCACCCCCCCTCAGCAGGAGCTGCAGCACAGGGAGACGGAGCAGGAGGAGGAGCAGGGAACGGCACGCAGAAGCTGCACCCCCATACCCCCCACCCCCAAACCCTAATGCAGGAGATCGGGCAGTAGGAGGGGTGGGGCGCCATCAGAAGCACGGGGGACAGCGGGGAGGGAAGGGGCAGCGAGGAACGGGCCGCCCACGGGCTTGGCATAGCCCCCCAAACCGCGCGTAGGCAGCCTGAGCCGCGCGCGGGCCTGGCGCCGCCCGTACGGGCCGCGCGCTGGCCTGGCGCTGCCCGTACGGGCCGCGCGCAGGCCGTACGGGCCGCGCGCAGGCCACGACGGGCGACGGTGGGCGACGCGCGGGTCCCCGTCGCCCGTCGCAGCGCCTCCCGGGAGCAACGCGCGGCGTGACGGGGCAGAAACCCGCCGCGCGCCTCGGGGAGCACGGCGGGCAGAGAACCGCCGCGCGCCTCGGGGCGCACGGCGGGCAGAAAACCGCCGCACGCTCCGAGCGCGCGGCGGGATGAAAACCCTAATCTTGACGCCACGCACCACGGGGCGCGCGGCGGACAGGGCGTAGTAGTAGCAGCGGAAGCACTGAAGTGGGGCCCACAGGCCAGGAGCATATAGCTCTGATACCATGTGAAATTGAGGAGTAGTCTTAGGTGCCATAGCTAGGAAAGCCCTAGATAGGCAAGAACAGTTTAGGCAAAGAGGGGATGCACTAGCAAGAATGAGGATACAAATAGAAAACCCTAGAAGGGTTGTACTCGCTATAGAGCACCCCACTACAAGCTAGAGCATAACATTCTGACAACATCCTGCGTAAAGTCGACAATCACGCACACAAAAAAACAACTACACTAGCATCAAAGAGATCCAACAGAGGAAATTCAAAACAAAACGACATCGACAAAAATAGCACTGAATCCTAGCAAGCAGACCACCTATCACTCCAGCCGAACGCCGACTACGCTGCCGTGCTGTCCTTGCCCTTCCTCCCCTTCTTCCCCGTGCCGTCCTTGCCCTTCTTCCCCTTCGTCCCCTTCTTCCCCCTCTGACCCTTCCTCCCCCTGTTGTCAAGATCGGCCTTCATCTGCGCGACACACGGCACCGCAATACTCCTCTTTTTGAGCTTCGGGCCAGCGACGGGGCACATTCCCCAGAAAGCCATGGTCTCCACCATCGCTCTAGCGACCACCTCGGCATCGACTCCCGCATTGCCCCCTGGATAGACCCTCTGCAGGGCGAGACTCTGCAGCGCTGGCGCGACGTTGAAGGTGACCTCCCCCAGGGGGCGGTCCCGGGTGATCTCGGCGTTCAGCACCGCCGCCATGACAGTTTCGAATACTTTGGCGGTCTCGTTGCTCGCACCGGCTATAAGCGCAGCCGCCTTCCCTTCTTCCACAGCATCGGCCACCTTGGTGTCGTCGTTCTCGACGAAGCACCAGACGGCGCATGCGGATGCCACTAACGCCCATGCCGCCATCGCCGTCTTCTCCTCCTTGTCTCCCTCCTTCTTCGACGCGCTCGCAACGGTCTTCCCATACGCAACGCACATGGACACGCGACCTATCATGGCCGACATCATCGCCGCCGACTTTTCCTCTGGCACCCCCTCGACGGGGAACCACATCGCCGGCCATAGCGCGCCGTGGAGCGCATCGCCTGAGCTCTTGCACTCGTGATACGTGTCGAGGATATCATTGAGCCTGTCACGCAAGCACGTCAAACAGAACAAACATAAGTGACAACGACATTATCCATCTATCGACTTGGGGCCGAAGGGTATCCGACTTACCATGTCTTTGGAAGGAGCACACCCCGGTCCCACATCACCGTCCACATCCCTGTCGGCAAGATCTTGACCTCCTCCCACACCTTCCCCCACCTCTCCAACTCGGCAGTGTCCAAGCCGGTGAGCTCATCCATGAGCACCTTGCTCACGAAACCGTCGTAGACGACGAACGCGATGGAGTGCACATACGCAAGCTCCATCTTCTCGCTCGACTTGCCGATGTACCGATTAATGCCGTGCACCTTAATCTCGCCAACCCACCCTTGCCCATCGCCCGAGCTGTCGTGACGGATGCCATGACCCCTCCTCTCTTTCTCCTCCGCCTTCTCCTTCCCTTTTCCCATCGCCTTCACCTCCGACTTCTCCCGTGTTTTCCTCTGAGAGCCCGCCTTCCCCTTCCGTTTCGCCTTTCCCTCGCCGACAACATCATTGGTTGTTTTACAATCTTCCGAACCACCGGCGGGACTCGCCGGCTGCTCCGCATGTGCTGTGTCCGAAATGGTCAGTGTCCGGGGTTTGGCTGCATCCAGTTGGGCATATATGGCGGCGATATCCGCGTCGGGGGCGACCTCCTCAATTGGGCTGCCGCCTGTGGCAAGCGTGGCACGCACACCCTTCTCCGCCGCTTTCTCGACATCAGCCGCCACGGGAGTGGGTGCTGCGACATTCCCCGATGTCAGCGTCGCCCTAGAGCCAACTTCCTGCTGAGTTGGCGCAGTCGACCCTCGTGTGCCTAACTGTTTGCGCAGCAAAGCGGACTTAGGGTTTGCAGGAGTACGGGCGGCGACGGCCGGCGCTACACGTGGCACACTGGCAGATGGCTCGGCGACAGGGGGGGGAGGCTGTTGAGCAGCCCTGTGGCCCGCAAGGAGCCTGAGCTGGTCCTTGAGTGCGTTTGCAGCGGCCGCCCCTTTCCACGCGCGGCTATCCTTGTCGGCAGGCGGGACGTCGGCTGACGCGCTGGTCGGATGACGTGCACCCGCGGGAGGCTGTTTAGGAACCGCTGTTGCCTCCACTATCTTGGCATTCGGCCCGTTGCCAGTTTTGGCGGAAACGAGTGGGGCAGTTTTGGCGGTGGGGGTTTCCTTGTCGCTCAACCCCTTCCCTCCGCTCCCCTGAGCTCGTGGCTTCTCGACGACCAAAGTCGGAGCACTTGGCACGGCGGCGTTCTAGTCGGCGGGACCGCCAGCTGCACTCCCTTCTCCATGGCCCATGCTGGGCGATCCCACAGTAGCCCAGTGCCTCTTCAGGATGTCGACCACGGTCTTAGGTTGCTTTGCCGAGCTGTCTCCAGCTCCAGTGTCCCCAACTCCCTTGCTGCCTTCGCCGGGGATGCGGGACCCACCAGCTCCCTTGCTGCCTTCGTCGGCCACGCGGGACCCACCAGCTCCCTTGCTACGCTTCACGCTCGTGGCGTCTTCTCCGTCTCCCCCGCCTCCGCCGCCCCCTCTCTTCTGACCATGCTTCTGGGCCTCCTTTGGATGCGGTTGGTCGGCGTCGTTCACTGACGGCGACGACCCACGCCGAGCAGGCGCCACCGTGCTGACCACCTCGGTCATTATCTTCAATCCGGAGGCGAAAAACGACTGCTGCGTCCCCTCCGTCACCGCCTTCAGCACCTCCTCCTTGAAGGACTTCATTAACTCTTCCGGCAAGGCCTGCGCTGGGGCGATAGGCGGCGGCGGCTGCTGCACAACGAGGCGGGGAGCGACGTCGGCTGCAATGTTGGTCTGCGCGGCGCCGATGTATTTAATGACTATATCCTCCAAAAACTTCCTCGCCTCACCCACCTCATTTGTCACGTGCTCGGCCAATGCGTTCACCTGGGTCGCGCGTTCGACCGCCATTCTTCCGTTGGGGTTGTCAAGATGCTGCAGAATCTTGGCTGCAAGTTCGGCAAAGGACTTGCCAGCTTCAACTGCGCTGGCCATGTTGTCGGTGAGATTGTCGGTAATGGTCGTCGCCATGGTCGGCGTGGCGTCTTCGAGGCGCTTCGTCAAGTTTCGGTCGGTGTCGGCTACTTGAGCGGTCAAAGCCTTGAGCTTGTCGAGGACCCCAGCTAACGCCGACGCCAAGCTGTCGACCCGTCCCGTCTGTTCACCGAGCCGCCGTTCCAGTCGTGCATTGTCGGACCGCAGTCGTCTGTTCTCCGCTCGCAGCTGCTCGACGACGTCCAGCCGCGCCTGCCGACCAGCTGCGGTGGAACCGGGGTGACCGCTCGCCGCCTTCTTCTTCCTAGACCGCTCCCCCCCGTGAGTCACTTCCACGCCTGTCTGCTTCGTGGCCGCGGTGTTATCCCCTTCTCCTACGGCCTCGAGGTCTACACCTTCCTTCCAATCGCCAACCACGACATTCCCACTCCCCCCATGAGCCGCCTCCACGCCGACCTCCTCTTTCTCCTTTTTGAGATCCGCTGACATCGCACCCTTCCCCTCCCCTTCCTCCTTCTCAACGTCCGCCAACCTTTCACCCGTTTCCGCCGCTCCAGCAGCTACAACCTCCTCGTGTTCTTCCTCTTCTTCCACCTCCAATTCCACCTCTTCCTCCTGCTCCCCCTCTAGCTGCTTCTCTTGCTCCTGCTCCTTGTGCTCCACCTCCTCCTGCTTCTCCTGCTCCTCTTCCTCCTCCTCCCCTTCCAACTTCAACTCCGACTCCGACTCTGACTCCAAACGACCCTCCTCACGATCCTCCTCCGAGCCCCCCTCCTCCATACGATCCTCATCACGATCCTTGTCCTGGTGCTTCTCCTTGGTACCAGATATCCCCTTTCCAGCCTCCGCATCATCCCCGTCGACGCCGCCTCCCGGCTTTCCTATCGTGGTCCCACGCGCATCAGCAACGGTGCGGGCGATACCGACTGCTTGGAATGCTGAATGGACCTCCTCGCCGTCGTCGTCACAGGCGTCGGCAGCAACTCCGACCTGGCCCGCCCGTTTGCGCGCTACTAGCTTCTTGATCCATGCCACCATATCAGTCCGCAGCTTCTTCAACCCCGAAACGTAGACCTTGTCCATGCTGGTGGCACTGCGTCGAAGGCCACCGGTCAGGAGATCCATCCGCGCCCAGAGCAACGCGCTCATTGCTAGCAGACCGGAGCCAGCGTCCCCGTCCCGGACGGCGTTGGGCACTTTCTGCAAACAAGAGTGCAGAGAGCGAGGATGAGCACTGCGGTCGGCAACATAGGATGGCAAAATCGTTCGGAACTCACATCTCGCAGGGGGTGATCGCAGTCGGCGAGCCTCTCCTGCACCTCTTCTTCAGACGGCTTCGCCCACTCCCATTTCCTACCATCGCACCGCAGCTCGGCCATAACCGCCTCCCGGAAAAACCTGCATACGCATGGCACAGACGGTGGGTAAGCATGGGGCACGCTCCGCTGGGAGTTTGCATGCGACGACGATTACACTGTCGAGCTCACTTCAGCACGCGGATCGCCTCGTCGCGGTGCCATTCCTTCACAGTCTGCGGGTCGGCGTGCCGGATCGATGTCCTGATCTTCTGCCCCGATGCCTTCAACAAATCGCCGGGGTACAGAATAATCACGACGCTGCAATGTGATCCTGGGAGCGGTGCGATGCGGCACAGGCAAGGCATGTTGACGTCGCTCATAACAGGTCACCGACATAGGTTGCAGCACACACCAGGGCGACCCCGAACCAGCTCACCTCGAGAACAGTTGGATAACCGCTACGTCGGCGTCGAAGACAGTCGCAAAGCATGTGTGGTCGCCCTGACCCATCGCTGCCCGAAGCCGGCTGACTCCTATCGACCACAATCGCTCGTCGGCCGACGTCGCGCGCATACATGCGTGCCTGCACGTATGCATAGTACGAAGAAGTGAGTGACAGGGTGCACGGCACGACGGTGGATCACCCTCGCGGCGGTGTAATGAAGAGAGCCAAACGACTATGGCACAACCCAGCGCCGACACCGACCTAACACCGTACGTCGACGTCAACGACGTGGTCGACATGAACCCTAAACTCGTCGACCTAAACGACGGGTCGGATGGAACCCCTAAGCTCGACCAGCATGGAAGCCGGCGGAAGACGCCGACATCCACTTACTTGAGGCTGACTCCCAAGTAGCAGGTGTTAAACTCTAGGCTATGGTTTGTGAGAACGGTGTAGTCGTGTTCCTCAAACTTGGCAGTGAGTCCTCTACCGATGTTAAGATTCAGGGGGAAGTCCTGCAAGGTCGGCGCCGCTTCGGCGGCGTTCGGGTCGACCGCCATGGCGGGAAAGCAAGGATGCTACAGGCTAAGGGAAGAAACGGTGGGTGTATGGAAGGCGCAGAGCTGGGAAAAAAGACGAAAGAGAAACGAGAAGGCGAAAATGAGGGGCGAGACCACATCCCACAAAGAAAAGCGAGGCGGAGCCTCGCAGGCCCGGTTGAGCATCGTCCCAAGGTGTCGTTGTGCCTGGCTCGGCAGGGCTCACGCACATGTGCCGTGGTACAAGTGCACTTCGCCGCCGAGCCAGCAGGTCGACGTCACGTCCCCAAGCCTCCGTCGGCCAGGGGGCGCAAATTCGCATGCGCGAATTCGGTGCGACGTTTCGGCCGACACGTGTCGATTTCGCAGCGGGTCGCGAAAACATTGCGCCGCGATGCGTGCGAAGTCGAATGTCGCTCGAATTTCGGCGGTTACGAAATGTCGCATGCATTCGATGCGAATTCATGGGCGCACACGTGGCGCCACCGCAACGGGTCGCGAAATTGTCGAGCATCCCGATGGGAGCACCCGAGTTTCGCATGGACCTCGCTTGCGCGTCCGGGCAGGTCGCGAGGGTCACTAGGACTTTGCGGGCAGCGGGGACGGGAGGGTTGCCTTCGCGCGAGGGTAACTTTCCCTCGCGCGAGGGGGTCGCCACATCGCCGCCCCCACACGGTAACATGGGGCGCTGTTCACTCTCGGGGAAGGGTTGCGGGGCGGCGGTCGTGCGCCCGGCCCAGCCCTCGGCCAGGCTGGCGGGCCCGCACGCGCGTCAGTTGCCCGCCTCGTCACGCCCGGCTCCGACGACCCCCTCTAACGACCCAGGCAAATCGGCTCCGACGGCCGAATTGTGCTGGGATGTTCAGGGTATTCTACACCCTACCCTGACACCGTCAGGCTAACCATAAATCCAATATGTGTAAAAAAAAACATGCTCTTTTTGCAGAAGGGTAACTATCGTGAAATCCTGATTTTGGCAGGGAAATCTGTCAAACTCATATGCTATAGTCTATGTAGGCTGTAGTGGGGTAGACAATATGGGGTACAACACTTTTAGGTTTTCCTACTTGTACCCACCTGCTTGCTAGTTCATTCATTCCTTCCTCATTTCTTCACATGGTATAGAGCAGGTTCCATAGTGGGAACGCTTCCTTGGGCCCACCACTGAATTTTTTTTTGCTGACCGAAGCACGAGTCGCCCCTGCCCGAGGCGCGCCCCGTGGGCCGCCCTCTCGTCGCGTCCCCTGCCCTTAGCGGCCCTTCGCGCCCTTCTAGAGGCCCCCTCTCACGGCCCCTCGCGCCACCCCTAGCGGCCCCGTCGCCGCCCTTAGCGGCCCCGTCGCCGCCCCTAGCGGCCCCGTCGCCGCCCCTAGCGGCCCCGTCGCCACCCTTCGTGGCCCCGTCGCCGCCCCTATCGGCCCCGTCGCCACCCCTAGCGGCCCCGTCGCCGCCCTTCACGGCTCCGTCGCCGCCCCTATCGGCCCCGTCGCCGCCCCTATCGGCCCCGTCGCCGCCTCTAGCGGCCCCGTCGCCGCTCCTACCGGCCCCGTCGCCACCCTTCGAGGCCCCTCGCGGCCCCTTCGCGACCGCGTCCCCGCCCCTATCGGCCCCGTCGCCGCCCTTCGAGGCCCCTCGCAGCCCCTTTGCGGCCCTGTCGCCGCCCCTAGCAGCCCCGTCGCCGCCCATATCGGCCCCGTCGCCGCTCCTAGCGGCCCCGTCGCCGCCCCTATCGGCCCCGTCGCCGCCCCTAGCGGCCCCGTCGCCGCCCTTCACGGCCCCTTCAGCTGCCAAGCGGCCGACCCACCGAGCCGCCTAGCCGCCCAGCCGCCCAGCAGCCAAGCCACCGAGCCGCCGTCGAGCCGCTACTGTTCCTACCAGCGCGCACCGGCCCTTCCCACCCGTGTCAAACATTATATATGTTATGCTTGTGTAGGCTACAGTGGGTTAGCCTATAGGGGGTACACAATTCTAGGGTTTCCTACTTGTACTCATTTCTCTGCTAGTTCATTCATTCCTGTTCGCTTATTCTCACATGGTATAGAGCGGGTCCTTCTAAGGACCGTTTTTTTTTGGGCCCACCGAAGCGCGCCCCGAGGCGCGATTTTTTTAGCGACCCCTCGGGTCGCCTTTTCCCCTGCGGCTCAGCCGCCTCCATTGACGCGGCCCCGCCGCCCTCCCTTACGCGGCCCCGTCGCCGGCTCTCACGCGGCCCCGCCGCCGACTCTGTCGCGGCCCCGCCCCGGCCTTTACGCGGCCCCGCTGCCTGCTCTCACGCGGCCCCGCCCCGGCTCCTACGCGGCCCCGCCCCGGCCTTCACGCGGCCCCGCCGACGGCTCTGTCGCGGCCCCGCCCAGGCTCTTACGCGGCCCCGCCGCCTACTCTCGCGCGGCCCCGCCCCGGCTTTCACGCGGCCCCGCCGACGGCTCTCTCGCGGCCCCGCCCCGGCTCTTCCGTGGCCCCGTCCCGGCTCTTACGCGGCCCCTGCCCCGGCTCTTACGCGGCCCTGCCGCCGGCTCTCTTACGGCCCCGTCGCCGGCCCTGACGCGGCCCCTGCCCCGGCTCTCAAGCGGCCCCGCCGCCGGCTCTTTTGCGGCCCCGCCGCCGCCTCTGAAGCGGCCCCGCCCCGGCTCTCACGCGGCCCCGCCGCCGGCCCTCACGCGGCCCCGACCCGGCTCTCTTGCGGCCCCGCCGCCGGCTCTAAAGCGGCCCCGCCCCGGCTCTCACGCGGCCCCGCCGCCGGCCCTCACGCGTCCCCGCCCCGGCTCTCTCACGCGGCCCCGCCGCCACACCTGCAGCAGTCGGGCAGCAGTGCAGCCGAACCGCCCGGGAGCCGAGCCGCCCAACGCCCGAGCCGCCCAGTCGCCGAGCCGCCCGGGACCCGAGACGCCCTGCACCCGAGCCGCCCTGCCGCCGAGCCGCCCGGGAGCCAAGCCGCACTGCGCCCGAGCCGCCCAGCAGCCGAGCCGCCCGGGAGCCGAGCCGCTGTGCACCCGAGCCGCCCGGTCGCCGAGCCGCCCGGTCGCCGAGCCGCCCTGCCGCCGAGCCGCCCGGGAGCCGAGCCGCCCTGCACCCGAGCCGCCCTGCCGTCGAGCCGCCCGGGAGCCGAGCCGCACTGCGCCCGAGCCGCCCAGCAGCCGAGCCGCCCGGGAGCCGAGCCGCTGTGCACCCGAGCCGCCCGGTCGCCGAGCCGCCTTTCTGCAGAGCTGCACGACCTGCCCTGCCTGGTGAGCACAGTCCCACTGTCACTGCGAGCTCTTTCCCTACTGCTTGCACTGCGTCGCTGTCGTCGCCATGGCTACCCCTAGTGTCCTAGCTTTTGACGCTGAGGGTCGCGCCATTGATTTTGAGGTCTGGTTAGACGACCTGCAGCTGTTCTTACAGTGCGACAGGGCTGACGGCCTTTCTCTCTTTGACCTCACCTCTGGCGCCTCTCCTGCTCCTGCTGCTGATGCTGATCCCACTGTCCGCTCTCAGTGGGCCACCCGCGATGCTGCTGCACGTCTTGCTGTGCGTCGCCACCTCCCTACCTCTGAGCGTGCGCACTTTAGTCAGTACAAGAGTGCTCAGACCTTGTACGACGCTGTAGTTGCGCGCTACTCCTCCCCTGCCACTGCTGCACTGAGCTGTCTCATGCTTCCCTACCTCTTTCCTGACCTCTCTGCCTTTCCCACTGTCGCTGACCTCATTACGCACCTCCGCACTAGTGACACTCGCTACCGCGCCGCCCTTCCTGCTGAGTTCTGCGCTAAGAACCCACCCCCCATGTACATCGCTCTCTACTACGTAGTCGCGCGCCTCCCTGACTCCCTTCGCGTCGTCAAGGACCACTTTCTCGCAGTCTGTCCCACCACCCTCACCGTCGACCTCCTCGAGAAGGCCCTCCTCGCAGCGGAGAAGAGCATAGTCGCTGTAGGTGCTTCTCGTGGTGGCCCTCGCACCCCCATCTTTGAGGGGTGCTCTCCTTCCCCCTTGCTGCCCTCTGTTGCCTCTGCTGCTGCTGCCGACCTGCTTGGTCTTGAGTCGGTCGGCGCGGCGTCTGCCCCTAGTGGGAGACGTCGCTCCAGCAAGGGCAAGGGGGGCAAGGGCGCGGGTGGAGCTGGAGGGGGCGGTGGCGGTGGCGGCGGTGGCGGCGGAGGGAGTGGGGGTGGCGGCGGGACTAGTGGCGGGGGTGGTGGTGGTGGTGGCAGCAGCGGCGGAGACGGTGGTGGTGGTGCCAGCGGTGGTGGTGGAGGCAGCGGCGGAGGTGGAGGCGGCGGAGGTGGAGGCGGTGGAGGCGGCAGCGGAGGAGGCGGTGGTGGTGGAGGAGGTGGAGCTGGTCGGGGTGGTACCCAGCAGCGTAGCGGCGGTGGTGGTGGCCAGCGCTCGCAGCGGCAGCAGCAGCAGCGCTCGCGGGACA